GAGGAAGAAGAAGAACTCTTCCGCACCCTCTCGCTACCTGACTTCTCGGTATCTGCAGTCTACGAGAGAAAGAGATTTGTGACTTCGTGAGTTGACGACATTTGGATCCAGACTCGACACTGGGATTCATACATTTGACGAGGGATTATTTGGGACTTGTACCGAAGACTTGGTGTGGGTAACATTCCCATCTCCCCCCTTCTTCTTCGTCTGATCCCCTCCTCTTCGTCTGTGTATGGTTTGGACCTCTTGGTGTTGCTCTCCTCTCTCTCTCTCTCTCACACACACACACACGCACACACACACACACACACACACACACACACACACACACACACACGCACACACACACACACACGTGGACCCCAACCCACACCCCTGCCCTGCGCAAACGTGTTCAACGCGTTCAAAACATGAACGCGAACGGACATTCATTGAACGCGCGGCAACATAGCCTCCTTCCTCTACTCGACTACCAACGAGTCGAGCAACTCGCTTAGCCCGTTGCAGGGAGCAGCTTGCGACTCATGAGGACGTTGTGTCCTCCCTTCTAGAGTTGAGCATGCTCCAGGCTCGTCCGGAGCGACTCACCCTGCATGTTGCTGCACTGGGTCGCCTTCTCGCCATCCTCTTTGACCCTGATTGCACCCTCCCGATCATTCCAGTACGACTGAGAACCTCCACAAGGGTGTACTCAGCGTTGTGGGATTTCGGTTCTCAGGGCGACTTCATTCACCCACGTGTGGTGAAAGAAGCCCGCTTACCCACGACAGGGTCTTCGATTCCCATCTCCGTCACCCTAGGGGATGACAAGACTCAGCGCTTCTTCGATCAAACGGTCACCAACCTCCCTTTCTTCCTCACTCTGGAGCCGACTGATCGTCCCCCGACGTCTCATCCTCACCGTTCCTCTGCACATTTCGATGTGATGGAGACGGGGTACGTCTTCATTCTTGGTACTCTGTGTTCTCGTAGGTTTAGCATTGAGGCCGATTGGGCGACCAACACTCTCGTTCTCAGAACGAAGTGTGGACAGACGTATCGCGTACCTTTCATCTATGTAGACCCCCGTACGAATACGGGCCGTACGTACGGGCTCATGTGGTAGTACGGGCCATACGTACAGAAAAAAAGCAAAAAAACAAAAATTCAAAAAAATCTGAAAAAAATGCAAAAAAATAAACTGAAACACTTTTGCCTCAGGGTCATATTGAAATTCGTTACCAAATTTGAGATAAAAAAATAAAACTATTTCTATTTTTTATTTTTTTTATTTTTTATACGGGGCTGTACATACGGTCGTACGTACGACCGTACGATAAACCCCCCGTACGTCGTACGGAGTGTTACACAGCCTTTCATAGGTACCATTGCGACACCACGACCCAATCATCCTCCCCCGGGGCCTTCCACACCCACACCATCTCCTACTATCGCTGTCACCTCGCCTCGGCAGTTCGCCCACTTCATCCGACAGGACGACGTCACCTTCTTTACGGTGAACGTTACGGATCTCTTGTACTACGATCCACCCTGTCCAGAGGCTGAGCTCATCTCTCTGGAGTCAGATCCTCCTTCTATCTCCATGGCTCTGATTTCTACTTCCCTCCTTCCGTCGTCCGTGGAGTCCACCCCGTCGTCGCGCGCTAGCGCTGACGCTGAGGAACTCGCATGCTATACGACCGACCTGGAGCCCGCAGTTCGTGACCTCATTCGAGAGTACCACGACGTTTTCCCATCGTCGTGCTCGTACGTCGGCATCCCACTTATGCGCGACGTCGAGCACTTCATTCAGCTCGGGTCTGACTATCGTGTTCACCACCAGGCACCCTACAGACTCTCGATCATTGAACCCACTGAACTCAAGCGTTAGCTTGAGGAGCTCCTGAGACTGGGTTTCATTAAACCCAGCAACTCCCCGTGGGGTGCACCCGTCCTCTTTGCTCGCAAAGCAAATGGGGCTCTCCGTCTCTACATCGATTATCGCAGTCTCAACCGCTACACGGTTAAGAACAACTAATCCATGCCTCGTTCTGACGAGCTGTTCGACCGCCTAGCAGGCAACCGCTTCTTTACGAAGACTGATCTTCGTGACGGTTACCATCTGGTCCTCGTCGCTGCAGAGGACCAGCCGAAGACCGCTTTTCGGTCGCGGTTCGACCATTACGAGTTCACAGTGATGTTATTCGGCCTCACCAATGCACCCTCCACCTTCCAGAGGGCGATGAACGACATCTTAAGGTACATCCTGGAGCAGTACGTTCTTGTCTATCTCGACGATATCCTCATCCACAGTCGTACCCTTGAGAAGCATCTGAGACACCTCCACATCATCCTTGACCGCTTGCGCAGACATGACTTCTACGCCAAGCTGAGCAAGTGTCGTTTTGCCCTGCACGAAGAGGATTTCTTAGGACACTACGTGTCTGACCAGAGTCTCCAGATGGACGACACGAGGATTACTGTTATTGCGGAGTGGCCCGTCCCCACATCCGCCAAG